CGACCCAGTGTGAACAAGTTGTGAGGGTGAGCGGTCTTGCTAACTGTGTCGGCGAGAGGAGTGAGCACCCAAAGATGTCACTTTGCCTCCCTGTTGGGAACCGGGGAGACCGGTCACAGGTCCTTGGAATAAGGGAGGGTACAAGACTTTTAAAAAAGTACGAATAGGTCACCCTCTGCAAAGAAAAAGTCTGTGTACTTCACCGGTGAGAGGCAGCTTGGTAATAATTATTTAGGGAAATAGGGTGTTTGAAGAACACGGTTTTGCACCGAGCTTGCTGTACACGTTCTGGTGAGGACAATGATCGCAGCATAATCGAGAGGGGCCGTTTGAATCCCAAGACCCCAGAACCACACACAGAGACACTAACAGCGATGAACCTAACTTTGTGGCATTTCCCCCCCATTTATTTTATGCATATCGTTCTTAAACAGGTTGTGACAGAGAACTTGGATCCAAAGAAACACCTATAGACCCCAGGAAACTACTGCAGGGGCTGGGAAAGGGGTTGGGACACGAATTTCATGTCTCGTTTGCTTGAGACTGCCCGGGGAAGGAAGCCATCCTGGGATGGCAGGTTTCTGTTCTGCCCAGGAGCACCATTCTCACTGGACTACTTTTGGGGTTGGTGTGTGAATAAGGGGAATGGGGTGGTGGGAACGTTGCCAAAGCTGAGTCAGGAAGTTTTAGGTTGGCCACCGGTGCAGGAAGTCTAGCTCCTGGGAAGGGATAATTAGTTGAGGTAGTTGATTTAGGCAATTAATCTTCCCGGTCCCACCTCAGAGCATTCTCTGGATGTTTGGCAAGTAGGGTCAGTGCCTCAGGCTAGTGCGGGGTAGCTGGTGCGAATACTGCTCCTGATGGTCAAATCCAGCCCACAGCCTATGCCTGTCCCTCTAGCAAAGCACAGATTCTCTTTGCATTTTTAAACCGTTGACCAACGCAAAAGGAGAGTATTTTGTGACACGTGCAGTTCCTATTTCACTGCTCATAAGTTTTACGGGAACACGGTCACACTCATTCACTTACATATCGTCTGTGGCTGCTTTTGTGCCCTATCGGGGAAGTTAAAGTAGTTGTGACAGAGACCGTGCAGCCTACAAAGCCTAAAATATTTATTACCTGGCCCTTTACAGGAAAGGTTTGCTGCCCACCCCCTGGGCGAGTGGGATACTGACGTAGGGGATTTGGTTGGGGGAGAAAATAGAGCTTTAGCAGCAGAGCCTTTGGAAACCATGACATTCAAGATGGAAATGTTAGTCCTGGAGCTGATCTAAGTCTTGCAGGTGGGGGTGCCGCAGGCCTCAGATGGTGACACTGTTCTCTATGCGGCTGGGCTTCAGGTAGTCATAGGGCAGGTCGAGTTGCTCATTCCGGGCTGTAATCTCTCTTTCCAGGCTTTCCAAATCCGTTTGGAATTGGTTTAATACAGCCTTGGCCTTGGGGCTTGAGAAATATTTTTCTTTGTGATGCCCCAGAGGCACCTAGGAAAGGACAAAGGATCCATCAGTTTCTAGTCCAGAGGCAGAAGCCTGGAGCGCCTAGCCCCTCACTCCGATGTTGCCCTTCCAACTGTAATTTTTCCCTTTTCCCAGAGTCCCCTCTTACCATGTCTGGCTGGCGGCGCCCCAGATGCCATGTGATGGTCATTTGAAGACAGGCCTGTCGGACATCAGGTAGTGAGCCCATCACCGTGGTCATTGTTACATCTTCCTTGGTGGTGGGTGGGGGCATCCGCATTGTGCATGGGGCATTAGGGACCCAGGCATACCAGTCCAGCTGGGGGAAGAAACTGCAACCCTAGGATCCTGATACTTATGCTTTGAACCCCTGTCTTTCCCTTAGGCATCCCAAGGTCCATACACTTGCCTCCAGGGACCTGGGCTTTCGGCTGTCATACCTGGCCCTGGTTGATGGCCCCGTGCTGAGCAGTGCATGTGAAGACACACATGGTAAGGAAATGGCAGAGTTGCTTCCGGGACTGGAAGGAGACGGGGAAACCTGGCAGAGAGGAACAGGATTTAGGGGCTCCAGCGTGAGAGGAGAGATACGAAGGTGGATGTCTTGGGATGTCTATGCTAGTCAGGTTCACACTGCATGGGTCCATTTAGGTGTGGATTTCTTATGGTGTGGTACCTAAATGTATTTTCTCTTCCTTATAATTTTTTTCATATTTTATCTAGTTCATTTTACTGTTAGAATATAGTTTATAACGTGGGCGCCTAGGTAGCTCAATTGGTTAAGCGACTGCCTTCGGCTCAGGTCGTGATCCTGGAGTCCCGGGATCGAGTCCCGCATCGGGCTCCCTGCTCGGC